ATAAATACCCCCTTATAACAAACAAATGTAAATTATATAATATAACACCACTAATGGATAGACATGGTACGATAGTTACCAACAAATACATTGCTGAATGTAGCAACAAATATACTAGAGTAGCTAAATGTAAGAACTATGTAGGAATAAATATATGTAAACAATTGCCAGAGGACAATTGTACTATACCACTTTTAGAAGATGCTAAATGTAACGTCATTCAAGAAAACAATAAACCTTTATTAGTATTAGATCACGGTAATATCATCACAGACGGAGAACACACGTGGAACGGATATCCAATCAAAGTACCGAGTACTTCGTGTCCAGAGATTTTCATCGTCATGGATTTCGAAATTCATATTCAGTTTTCGTAAATCAAAATGGCGGATCCAATATGGCGGACGATTTCTTCAAAAATGTATAAATTTACTCCATATGTATTTGACAGATTTCAATGAAATTTTGTAATTAGAGATTTTCGTCGTCATTGAATTCGAATATTAAATAAAATTTCCAAAATTCAAAATGGCAGATCCAATATGGCGGATGATTTAATTAAAAATGTATAGACGGTTATGAAGCTTGGTATCCGGAGATTTTCGTCGTCACTGATTCCGAAATTGATATTATATTTTCAAAAATTCAAAATGGTGGATCAAATATGGCGTCCCGAACAATAGGCGTTTTACTTTTAACGCAATGCATTACCTTTTGCACCATTTGAACCCATTATAAATTTTGAAAATTTAATTTCAATTTCGTAATCAAAGATAACGAGGATCTCTGAATACCAGTCGCTATCATACTTATTTATAAATTTTCAAAAGTCTCCATCTTCTGATGAACTTAAAAAACTGCTTTAGGTCGTATGGACTGTAAATGTTATCTTATGTCACGTTATGTTATGTTATAATTTTATAATACCATGTCCCCACCGAAGCTAACCACGTAGTTATGGCTATTGAGTTGGTTATCCCGATAACCCACTTGATTTAGCGTAGTTTCGCCATATAAAAATGACAGCACTTAACCATTTCACTGAGATGGTTAAAAGCTAACCAACTCGAAACCACGTCGAAAGTCTGATACAACCCTGTGTTTGCCCGCCATCTGTGGGTCATTAGCGTTAAAATGTGAAGAATTCGTTCCCTACTAGTGTTTGGACTCCACTAAAATCAATTAGATTTACTCCGATTTTTGAAAAAATTTGATATCTACTCCGCTTGACTTCAAATCTATTCCGTTTTTTTCATTCATGCTATGCCCCTCTGGGTGCCGTTTTTTGAGTGTTCACCACCGGTTTCAGTTAAAAAATTGAAAGTTAGCCAAATCTCACTGTTAAAAAGTAACTCTTTCATAGCAATGCGTCAATAAAGTAACATCGTTATTCTTTGATATATGGCTGCACAAATTGGCGGATGCAGAACTTTACTTAAGTTGTTAAAAAATATATGAGGAATGAAATTTATATAAAGTAGAAAAGGTTTGCTTTTTAAAAAATTAAGTGTTAGATACGTTCTACTATATTTAAAATGCTAAAAATTACCTAAATATGTAATATATTATCCTTATATTGCCTCGCGTTCTTATTTTGCATGAGTAGAAAATATTTTAGTCAAACAGTTAATGTCAGAAACAAAAATAAAAAATTCAATCTAGTACGGAAAATTGGTTTTTGCTCCGATTTTTGCCGTAATTTAGTCCTAAATCGATTTTTGGGCCGAACACTGTTCTTTACATTTGTACTGTTTTATAAACTTCAAACCGCAGTGTGGACAGCAATAGTTAGTGATGTGGTTAAGTTCGATTTGAGATGGTTAACTTTTTGGTGGGGACATGGTATTAGGCCCTTATTTATCCAAATTTTCAGGTAATGAAAAAAAATTCCATTAAAATATTACTTGTTGTCGTAGTCGTTTTTTCAAATTTATGGCTTTCTATCATGATTCAATAATAGAAAGGTTTTGTAATAAAAGTCTTCTCGCTCCCACGCATAAAATCGGCTCCTTTACTTGTGCAGAGTGTTGCACACTCTACAGTTTCTAGTTATATTAGTAGTAAAACCAAAAATTCTTCATACTAAATATTCGTTGGGATCAGCTTCGTTAGCATAAATTTCTGGAACAAGTCTAGAATAGCGACCGTTTTGCTATAAAGGGCCTGTGCCAATCGGTAACTTTTTTCTCCGTGGTGAGACGGGGTGGAAAAATTTGCTATGGTGTACAAATAAATTGAATTTTGCTGTGCCAAATGCAGAGTTAAATTTTGACAGTTGAAAAACCAAACAAACGCTCGAGCGAAAAGTCTGTTTTTGTGTGTTGCTGAAATTTGTTAAAATTTATATGCAAAATGAACAGAATCGAAAGAAAATACTTTTCTTTACTGATGGCGATAATGATGGAAATACAAGGAATGCATTCATTTAATGATTTGATATTACTTGAGAACTTTAGGCAACGTGCGAGCCGCCAGGTAATACTTGTGTGGGAAGTTGTTATATTTTTATATTTAATTTTGTGCGAATATTTTCAGGAAGTTATTTACCTTCACCCGAGAGTTATTTCTGAGGACATCAATGAAATTATGTCTGGTGACAGAATAAAAACTCGGATGCATTTAAGGATTTCTGCCAGCACGTTTACGAAAAAAATTTTGCAGACAATTCCCCGAAAACATCATGGATGGTCGTGCGAGTATGAAGTTATTTGCTTTTTATTTTGGATGGCATGTGGTTGTAGTTAACGGGTCGCAGCAGCTTTTATGGGTTTCAGTAGGTACACAGTGAGAAATATAATACATAAGATGCTAGAGGACTTTTTGAAGCTGCGGCATTTGATTAACCATGGTTCTGTGAACGACTATGATAGACTTGGTTTAAAGTTTTGCCGCAAGGCAAAATATAAAGCATTCATCAAGTTCATTGGCGCTATCGATGGAACTCATATAAGAATTAAATGCCCCGTTAACAAACATGATGAATATATAAACCATAAGAAGTTTTACTCCATTCAAGTGCAAGCAGTCGCAGATAGTGACTCAAAATTTACTGATGTTTTCGTTGGTTTTCCTGGTTCTGTGCATGACACCCGTGTTTTTCTAAATAGCCCTTTATATGCAAAAGGCAACTATCCACCAAACGGATATTATTTATTTGGTGATAAGGGATACCCGTGTCAACTTTCGCCAGTTCCTGTAATAACGCCATTTAAAGAATCTTTAACTCAAGATCAAGCTCGGTTTAATACTGCACATAGTAGAGGAAGAATTATTGTAGAACAAAGTTTTGGCATTTTAAAGACTAGATGGAGAAATATTTTTAACAGAGATCTAGAGCTAACAATTAAAAATTGTATAAAAACGGTATTTAGTGCATTTGTCTTACATAACATTTGTGTAATGAACGAAGATTTTGACCCTTCAATCACTATACTGGAAGACGAATTTAGTAATGTAAATAACCGAAATGAAAATATACTTTTTGATTCTGTTGACGGTTTAAGAGAAAGAGAACAAATATTTTCATCGTTTTTACAAAATGAAAATTCTACCTTCTAAACTGAAGTTTTATAATTTTTTCACAAAAACGCATATTTTAGACATTATAATTTATTTATTACTTTTATGCTTCATGCATTTTTTGGTACGTATTCAATATCTAATGCTACATATATGTTATATGTAAAGTGAGTGGCATAAAATCATAAGTTCGCCACATAGTGTTAGGTTTAGACTATTTATTTATCTATTTTCAAATTAAATTAATTGTTTTTTATAAAAATAAAGTTTCTTCAATAAAAATAAAGTTTCTTCAATAAAAATAAAGTTCATTCTCTACCTAAAACCGTATAAGTCTTTTTCAAGGAAGCTTCATGTTTTTTGGTATGTAACCAAATCTTGTTACTATATCGCTCATTTACTTCTATAGTGGCATAATCAAAGAAATACAAAAATTTAGTTAAGTATGCAGAAATTACCGCTACCTGTTCTTCTATATTGTGTAAAAATTTCATAGCTGTACCGATTACCAATAGCTCACTAGAACAAAATATGAATTAATTTTTACTAAGGGAGCATATGTATGTAAATTCAAAACTTTAAAGCCGTTTATCTAAAGTGTTGCTTTTTTGAGTTATGACACGATTGAAGTAAATAAAGGATATGTAGGTACAGCTGCGAGTTACAAAATAGTAGGGCGACATTTTGATCAGTTTTCTTTTCATTAAATAATGCACATTAATTTTTTTTTATAAAAGTATGCCGATTATCTCATAAAAATAACATAAAACCACATTTCACACTTTATGAAAAAATTATAAAACTATTTATAGTTTCCTGAATTTTTATAATCTTTGCTCAAAGTTTGAAATGTGGGTTTATGTTATTTTTATTAGGTGTATAGTGAGTAACATAATGATAAAGTCAATATACATTGATAAGTATAGACTATTTGATATTTTTTTTTTTATTTAGATTTTTTTTAAGAATATAGTTTCTTCTTTAACAAAAAACTTATAAGTCCAAGTTTCAAACTAATAAGTGAAATTTCCGTTTTCTAGCCCATTCAACTGATATTTTTTAATATATTCTTATAAAAAAAGGCTAAATAAATTTGGAAAAAATACCAAATCGATGGCTGAGTGGAACGTCGACCTATCTCGGCAGTCAGTTCGAAAACGCCCTATCTCAGAAAACGAATTTGGTTGAAGGATGCCCTATTTTAGAATTTGATTAAAAATACCCTATCTCAGAATTTGGTTAAAAAATGACCTATCTCAAACGAAAATACATTGAAAATGTGCAGAGATTGGGCGTTTTTGAATCAGCAGCTGTGTTTAGAATGTTTTTCAATCAAATTCTAAAATACGGCATCCTTCAACCAAATTCAGTAGGGCGTTGTTGAAAAATTTTCTGAGATAGGGCGTTTTCGAACTGACTGCCGAGATAGGTCGATCTTCCACTCAGCCATCGATATAGTCTATACTTATCAATTTACGGTAACCTTATCATTATGACACTCATTATTTAAATAAAAAATTAAGATATCACTTCATTTTTTCTTAAAACTACACGAACTAATAAAATCAAATTCGTATTAAACATTAGTCTGAATCCGATTCGGAAGATACGAGCAAACTGTCTACATTAATGTGGGGATAATCGGTTTGTACCATTTGCCCAAAAACCGCAAGTAAAGATCCCACTCTCCTTTTGAATTTATGGTCACGTCTTATAATATGCTGCTCCAGCCTCTGAAAACGCTCATCTCTGTTGCGCAGCTGTGGAGTGCCCGATCTCGATCGCGATGTGGATGAGCGAGAAGTTGAAGGGGCTGCAGATGAGCTGAAAGGTGTTGGAGATTTCTCTCTCATGGACACTTCTCCTTCTCCGCTGTCCAATAAATAGGGGGGATGGTAATTGTCTTTCTGCGATGCATACTCGTGCATCGCGTCGAAATACTGCCAGTCTTTTGCTTCCTCTGCTACCGCCTCTTCTCCTGTTCCTTCGCCTGGTGTAAAAATAACATGTTGGTAAATACAATTTTAACCTTCAAATGGATGTGTCCATACCTGTTTTGTAGCGAAAGAAACTTTTGTATTTCTTCACTAGAGCATTCCACTGTGACTTGCAGCACATCCAGTCTTTGTTCATTGGAAGCGACGCCGATACTTTTCTGCAAAATTACATTCAGATCTGCCAATCAACTATATATGTACATAAATATTATATTTTACTTACTTCCATCCTTCGTTGGAGTTTGCATTTTTGCCGCTGAACAGCGCATCCTCTTCTGTCATCCTTCTTATTAACATAAGCCTTTCCGCGTGGTTCCCTTTAAACAGATAGAGAATAAATAAATACATAAATATTCGCGCATAAGTTTCATTTATCTTATAACTTACAAGTAACGTACGCTTTTTTGCCATTTTCTCAGCTTCTATTTTGATTTGAACTCTTTATTACCGCCAAACAATGCTATTTGTAAACATATTTAGAAGTTGTCAAAATTTTACCTAGCCCCATGAGCTAGGTAAAATTTTGACGTTCGTATTCACCACGAGAAGTGTCAAATTTTTACTTTGATCCGTCAAAATTTTCTATTTTCTATCAATTGGCACAGGGCCAAAATAACCAAAAGTGCCGATTGATAGAACTTTTTACGCTGATTTCAACGATACCAAATTTATTTGGCGCAGGTAATAAACAAAGAAGATATAAGAGGTTTATTTGCTTTGTTTACTTATATTTTTTATTATCACTTAATTCTTAAAACGCAAACGTAGATCATGATAAAATATGTATATCGAATTAAAGATAATAGCTTGTACCTTCTATATAATATAAATTTCTTTACCATTAATCATGCAGTTTTTTCAAAAAATGTTATTTCATGAAAAAATAACATATGTTCGTTTTTAGTGGTTTTGGTTTAAATATATTAAAAGAATTTCAATTATGTATATCAACTGCAAGATAAATTGATTATCTTTATGGTGACGTTATTAGTTTTTTAATCGGTTATGTGGTTCATAAGATATTAATGTTAAAAACATTTTTTTGTTTTTGCATAGTTGAACGGTCGGTATTCTAGATTTGTTCTAGGAAATGACGAATAACTTAAATTAAAAATCTATTATTTTACGTATTGCTTAGTATTTCCATTAAAAAACCAAATATATTGCAAATTCACATATAATTAATAATACAGATTTTACTCCTAATTTTATACTTTGCGCACTTTCTTAGTACCTTTCTACTACGGTTTCCAAAATACAAATCTAGATAAAGGAGTGTCAAATTTTAGCTGTCACAAAATACATAACCTTGTGTTATTGAATCAACTTAACTTCCAATTTTTTGCCTATATATTAAAAAATTTTACCAGGAAGTGGTAGCTCGATAATTTTAGTAAAAAGTGCATAATCAATGCTAAAGAGATATATATTATTTTTCCTTTCTGTGTTGCCGATGAAGTGGGGCTGAACATCTTTTGCAGAGAAGACCTTTCGGCGTAGGTGTCCTTCGGCCGCACTTAGGGATTATAACCCTCACTAAGTAGAGTTATTCTATCTGTGGGCTGAACACCTTCTGCAGAGAACACCTTTCTGCGTAAGCGGTAGGTAAAATGCTTTAAGTTGATCAAAGGTACAGTAATTTTTTTTTATGAAAGTGAAATTGAATGTTTAGCGCAAATAATGCTTTTTGAATTCTTTTCTAAGGTACATGAGAAGTTGATAAAAAAATTCAATTGATTAAAAAAGTAAATTTTTTTATAAAACAAGAATCGAAATTTTACAAACTGGCCACTTTATTTTGTTGCCCAATAATTTCTCTAACTGCTGTCAAAAAATCATAAGATTCAAATAAATGGTTGCTGAAATATGTATTTCAAAAATTGTAAAAGCCTGCATAAAAATTTGTTTACAAATAACTCGTCAAAAAATAAAATTTGCGCAAAATCTTTGGTGTCAATATTGCACACCATGTTAACTTTCAAAATCAGTCAATGAAACATAAAAAATCGAGAAGTCAACTTTGGGTGGCCCTCTTGAGAAAACTTGACTCAAAAAACAAAATTAAGTAAAATAGCAGTTTAATTTCTAACCTAACCTACATGCAAGAATGATAGAATACAAGATTGCGCCAATCGAGCTGAGAGCAACTGGCCGTGACGTCAAAATATACCAGATGAGAGAGCAAGACGAACTCGACAAGAAAAAGAGGAAGCATTGAACAAAAGGCAGTGTTGCCAAGTTTTGAATTTGAAAAAGCACCAATTTTATTGGTGTATTTATGAACTTTATATGAATACATAATTTTATTGTAAGGATGCCGATTCAAATTAATAAAAATCAATGTTTCTTGCACAACGGTCGATTTTGCTGGCATGATTGAAGGTGCTGCACATATTTCGTTGTCGCTTATGATTGTCACTGTGCCATGATTTTGTTTAAATTTTTGTAAAATTGCTTACCACACTTACGATTGCTATAAATGTTGTTTTTTTAAGATTTTCTAATTTGATGTCTTCAAACTAAAAACAAAAGCACCAAAAACGCACCAAGCGCCAAACTGAAAAATTTTTGCTTTTTGAATACCCACTAAATTTGGTGCGAAAAGCATGAAGTTGGCAACAATGAATGTAAACAAAAGTATTTTACGACGCCAGCGATTGGGTAGATGCTGTCAAATCGACGAAGAGAGGGTTAGCGGTCCGCGAATGGCGCGACCTTTATTTTCTGGATCGTGACCTACATGTGTATGTGCATATGTAACTGAATCGCCTAATAATAGGTTTGCATATAAGTAGATTATCCTCATTTTCGAGTCTAACTCCCTAGTTTGTAATTAGAACAAGTAATTTTTAAGCAAAAAACAAAACCGACTTCAATTCTCATATAACAATTTAAGATTTTCGTTAATCTTTTTATGATCCAATGATCGGATTTAAACCTTATTAGAATGGGGCCACCTGTGAGGTAACACCTTTCCTTTAAAATCGGTTGACGTGGTCCAAAGTTATGCGCATGCGTAGCCAGAACGAAATTTAGGGGGGAGGGGCCTCGTATTAAATTTTTTTTTTTAAGGCCAATAATTTTTACTAAAAAATTGTTTATTATAGCTTAAAATTATTGTAACCAATAGAGGTAAATAGAAACTCACAAAAGTTGATATAAAACTATTCATCGATTTATGAACTTATTACAGATTGGGCAGAGCACACTGGAATTCCAGTCGTCGGGCATGCACCTCATCAGCTCCTCAACATCGTATTGTACCGTCAGCTCCAGCAAGTTTGTTATTTTTCATGAGCATAATCGCTATTCGAACCTCGTCATAGTCAGGCGCTGGGACATAGACTCCATCATACGCGACTGGGAGCTCGGGTTCTACTTTCGGTGCTGCTGCCATCCAAAGGGTCGAAAAGTGTTCCGGCGAAGCGATCAGCCACAGTCTGTTATCGGACGTTTCGTCGTGGAGGCTGAATTTTGCGACAGTGGCGCTAAAGATCCCTTCCTTGCCCTCCTTGGCATTAAAATCGCCGAGCACGATTTTGACATCGTGTCGGGGGCAGTGCTCATATGTACGCTCCAAGCGCTCATAGAAGAGATCCTTGGATGCCTCGTCTTTCTCTCGCATCGGGGCATGGGCGCAGATGAGCGAGATGTTTAAGCGGATTGTGGCCACTAGAGTGGACGCCAGTACTCGGCGACAGACTCTCTCTCCCAGCAAAAATCCAAGACCGAATTTGCGATCCTTTACGTGGCAACTGTAGTAGACATCGCAAGGCTCCCCGCTCAGCTTGCCTTGCCCCATCCATCGAATTTCATGGACGGCGGTGATCTGGATATTCCAGGTGCGTACCTTCAAATCATAGTCATTTCAACGTTTGAAGTGATCATCATTAAAAAAAGGGGGTATCATTCGAGGCTTTTACGTGGATATAAATATCCAATTCAAACACACGAATCACTTCTGGCCACTCCCAGGTGAATGGCAGTCAGAAGCTATGGAGTACTGGAAAATGTACAGAACATAGTGGTCAAATGCGAATATCTCAACTAAACCTTGATGTATTTTTTAAATTCATAGCTCTACATATATATACAGGTATATAGTAAACCAGATAGCCGGACAAGACGTTATTCTAACAAAAAAATATTAAATTTTCCGTATACCCTGTAATATTCGGTGTCCAACCTAGTTTTATTGGTTACATTTGCGAAGAAGAGGAGAAATGTCGAATTTAAAAATAAAAAAAATAAACGCTGGCCATTCAGAGTTTCGTAAAAGTATTTTAAATAAAATTTAGGTTAAAATATATTTAAATTGTTTAATATGTATAGTAGAAAAAAGTGACCACGGTGGCACAGAGAAGAAACTTAACTTTTCCTTGAGTTGTGAGAATAACAAGCACAACAAATTTAACGGCTAATAATCTGAGATTTGCCTGTGTAATCAGGGTGATTAACAAACGAGCTTTAACTGAGATTACATATATTTATACGAAAACGTACTTTTATGCCTTGCCGTACGCATATGTTTACACATCAAATTTCATGAGTAACTAAATAGTACTCGCGCCATTTTTTAACGAACGGTCTAATATACATACATATGTACCCCTCGCGACAAAAGGATACGATCACTCAATATAAGCTACTTGTTTCTACTAAAATTAATTTATTTTACTAAAATTGCATGGGCTGTACAACTGCATACTTATGGCCGTATTCATTAAAAATAAAGTAGGTTTAAAGAGCTTTATAAGTTGACGTTTTTATACACTTTTCAGTTTATAAACCTTTTTTAAAGCTAATTTATTTTTTATGAATAAGGCCATTCGACTTTTCTGAATTCTGAATACAATACAAAATTACGAGATATAATGATGGATCGGGAGGAGCACCGACGCCCTTACTATCGGAATATCTCCGTTATTCTTCCACCTATATTTCTGACAATTTGCAAGTAATTTCATTTTGGATTACAGAATAAGTATATAAATTGTCAGAAGTTTACCTAGTGACATAATTGTTGCCAAATTTTTTGCAACATTAGCGCCTTCTGACGACGCTTTAATTTCTTCCTAGACTTCTGACAACTTTTTCCCTACTTTCTTATGTTATCTTCGATTAAATTGAAAATTTTCAGAACTTTACCTCATCACTTATTTTTCGAAAAAATTGCGTGTTTAACCCCCTACCATCACTTTTACTTCCAGTGAGAGTTCTGACGTTCCGCCTCTCGCTATATCGGTAACAACCGAACCTGTAACTGTTAAAATTTCTAGTTTACCGGGTGACCCCTTTCCCTTCTTAGACTAGAAAGCTGATTTGAAAGTATGTAGATGAACTTTGCGCGAGATCAGCGCCGTCCAAATAAACCTTTCTGTCGCTCTTGCCCAAAAGTAATGAATCGCGGATAACATAAAATTATCAGTTAATATGTACCATATGGTTACGGTGACCATCCGTCCTGTATTATACGGGACAGTCCTCTTTTTTTACCCATTGTCCTGTTAATTAATTTATTTTATACGGGACGCTAA